ACTCAGGATTAGGCATCATGCTGACCTGCCCCACCCCTCCCACTTCCGCCTTTCGCATTAGCCCCCCACAGCTCCCCATAGCTTCCCCCACCCTCATTGGCCTGTCACCATCAGTCAGGGTGCAGGCAGTTGAGCCTCCTCTCTGCCATTGGGCAGAGAGAAGGTCTCCACACTGGGGGGAGGTGGGTAGTGACGACTTACCACACTGGGTGATGGGTAACACCAAATCTTGTAACGCCACTGCGAGGTCAGCTCCTCCCGTTGAGGTGTCAGCCTGTTTATAGCCTCTGCAGACCCTGGAGACATTTTAGTGTCACCCCCTTTGCCAGTGTCTGGGTTGTGGTCCACACATCCCCCACTCAGCCCCCTAGTGACGCTACTAATTAGAAAATTTTAAAAGGACTGATTCGATTTCCCTAAGAGATTACCTATTTAATGGGTTATCCATTTTTTTCTGGTGTGAACCTTTTAAGAAGTATCCATTTCATCAAAATTATCAAACATATTAGCAAAAAGTCATTTATATTTTCTTATCATCCCATTAATACATGAGGACTATTGTGATATCCCTTCTTTCATTCCTGATATTAGTAATTTGTATCTTCTCTTTTTTTTTTGATCAACCTGATCAATTTATTAACTTCCTCATGGAGAAAAATTTTGATTACATTTCTTTTTCATTTTTTCCTTTTTCAAAATTTATTGATTTCTCTTATCTTCTTATTTCTTTACTTTTTGCTTACTTTATTTATTTTTTTATTTTTGTCAAAACTTCGCCTGTTGATTAGAATCTTTCCTTGTTTTCTAACATAAGTATTAATAAATTTCTTTTAAAACAGGGGCTTAACTACATCCCACAGATTGAGAAATGTTCTATTTTCATTTTCATTTAAATAAAAATATACTGTAATTTCCCTTATGATTACCTCCTTGACTCATGGATGAGTTACAAATGTACTGTTAGTGTTAACCATTTGCCCCATCCAGGGACAAATTATAAAATACATAAAGCAAATACCAGTAGTGATTTTTTTTGTCTATGGATTTTACCAATTATTGAGAGAAGAATGTGCAAATCTCCAGTTATAATTGTGTATTTATATATTGCTTCTTTCAATTCTAATAATGTTTGCTGCATGCATTTTGAAATTTTATTGTTAGATGTATACATTTTTAAAATTGATATATCTTATTGACAAATAGAGTTCTTTATAACGATGTAACAATTCCCTTTATACTTGTAATATACCTTTGTCTGGTCTACTTCACTGTTATAACCCGTGCAACATCCACCTGGGATTCTAGTTCAGCACCTTGAAAATGTCACAAAAGATCACCTCAATTGATCATAATGAAAATGCATTTTTTCAAGTGGCTTCAAATTGCACAATTTTTATAAGATAAAATGTTGTCTATATTGTATCTTTGAAAATGAGTATTCTAGAGGATGTCTTAGTTATTTAGTGCTGCTATAACAGAAATACCACAAGTGGATGGCTTTAAAAAAGAAAAATTTATTCTTTCACAGTCTAGGGGCTAGAAGTCCAGCTCCAGGGGAAGGCTTTCTTTCTCTGTTAGTTCTGGGGAAGATCCTTGTCATCAGTCTTCCCTGGTGGAGGAGCTTCTTAAGGCAGGGATCTGGATCCAAAGGATGTGCTGTTCTGTTGGCTCTTGTTTCTTGGTGGTATGTGGTCTCCATGTCTCTCTGCTCACTTCTCTCTTTTATATCTCAAAAATGATTGACTTAAGACACAACCTAATCTTGTAGATTGAGTCCTGCCTCACCAACATAACTCCCTAATCCTATCTCATCAACATCATAGAGATAGGATTTACACCACACAGGAAAATCCCATCAGATGACAAAATGGTGGACTACCACACAATACTGGGAATCATGGCCTAGCCAAATAGACATATATTTTGGGGGGACACAATTCAATCCATGACATTTCACACTTTGGCCTACAAAAATCCATGTCCTTGCCACATGTAAAACACATTCAACTCATCATATCATAACAAAAGTCTTAATTCAACTGCAAGTCCAAAATCCAAATATTCTTATTCATCTGTGAAATCTGGAATATAAGCTATTTCCAAAGTACAGTCGTGGAACAGCCACATGCTCTACATTTGCATTACAAACGGGAGAAATTGGAGAGAAAGAAAGGATAACAGGCACCAAGCAAGTCTGCATAACACATTACATTAGCCTTCAAGGCTTGAATCCTCTGTTCTCTGAGACCATTTACACAATGGACCTGCCCTCGAGACTCTAGGTATTGGTCACAGTTTTCAGATTCTGAGTGAAGGTCCCTTGGCGCTTGGCTTCAGCTCCACCTTCCAGGCCCACTGGAATGGAAACTCTGCCCCCTCGGCTTTGGGATGCCCCATTCTCCTACTCCATCTGAGCGCCTACTCCACCCTTGGAGACCCCAGAATTCATGGCCATACCCTTTGACACTGAGGCAGCTCTGCTTCCTGTGTTCCTTGTGTTTTCAACTTCTGCTTCCTGGTTCCTTGGCCTCTTGGCCCCTTGGGCCTCTCTTCCCGAGTCTACCCTGCTTAGGCAAGTGTTCCAATGCTCTGTAGCTCCACCAATAAGTTCCTGGAGACACCCCAGTCCACCAGTAAACTTCATCTGGAAGGCACTCAGCTCTCTCGCTCCATGAGTGGGCAAGCCTATCTCCACCAATAAGTGCTTAGAGGTGCCCCACTCCACCAGGAAGCCTCGTGTGCAAAGACATTCAACTCTCTTGCTCCATGGGTCAGCTTCAGGCCCATCTTGCGCTGTTCTCCTGGTTGTGTCACTGCCAGTTTTCTGCTGCTGTCGGTTCTCACCATTCACAGTTTCAAAACCGCAACCACATTTTAGCTATCTGTAGAGCAGCACCCCACTCTCTCAGTTCCAAATTTTGTCTTAATTACCTAGTGGTGTTATAAAAGAAACACCACAAGTGGATGGATTTAACAAAGAGAAATTTCTTCTCTTAGAGTCTAGGAGGCTAGAAGTCCAAATTCAGGCTGCCAGCTCCAGGGAAAGGCTTTCTCTCTGTGTTAGCTCTGGGAGACGGTCCATGCCATAAATTTTCCCAGTTGAGGAGCTTCTCAGCACAGGGACCCTGGATCCAAGGGACATGCTATTCTCCTGGTCCTTGTTTCTTGGTGGTATGAGGTCCCCAGTCTCTCTGTTCTTTTTTCTCTTTTATATCTCAAAAGACATTGCTTAAGACACAACCTAATTGTGGTTTCCATCTCAAACTTACACTTAAGAATTGACTCTTAAAGGAATATTGTTTTAATTATTATATTTTGAGGATTTTGTTGTGATTGAGTCACATGTTAGGCACCACATATGGGAAGAGAGTGAGTTTCATTGAAAAAAAAAACGGGAATTTTCATTCTCAATGACTCTTCAGATAAACAATCTTGAAACAAAAACCAATAAATAAATGAGGACTTGGCATAATCAGGAGAGAGCTGAGATGATGTGGGATCTTTTTTATTTTCTGGGCCTTGAACATTGGGCCTTTGAGGAACTTTGAGGAATGATGACCAGTGCAAGATTGTTCCTCATATTTAGTGAATGAAGGTAAAGCTAGGAAATCAACTCGATGGAAACTAAGAACAACAGAAATTGAACTAGGATCACTAAAGGATTTCCCAAAGGTGGGCTAGTTTTTCACATCTTCGAGAAATCACATATAGTAGCCAGTTGTAAGTTATTCTCTAAGTTATATCTTTATTTGTTTTTCCTGGTCTATAAGTCTACACTCAATAAATATTAACACCTAGTCTCAGTATCACTACAATAACTTGAATTGTGGTGTTGGCAAGGAATATTGAATATACCACGGACTTCCTGAAGAACAGACAAATCCTTAATGAAGGAAGTACAGCCATAATGCCCCTTAGAAGTGAAGGTAGCTAGACTTTGTCTTGCTTACATTGGACACATCATGTGGAAAGATCAATCACTAGGAAAGGGCTACGCGTTTGGTAAAGTAGAAGGTCAGTAAAAATGAGGGAAACCCTTCAAGAGATAGACTCACACAGGGGCTGCAACAATGACTCAAACATATCAAAGATTGTGAAGATGGCACGGGATTGAACAATGTTTCATTCTGTTATACATAAGGTCACAAGAGTAGGAGCTAACTTGACAGCGACCTAACGACTAACAACAACCAAGCCTTAGTATGGAATTCCTGGAGGGTACAAATGGTTAACATGCCCAGCTGATAACCAAAATTTGGACTCTGAGTTGACCCAGAGGTGCCTCAAAGGAAAAGCCTGGTGATCTACTTCCAAAAACTCAGTCATTTAATAACCTATGGAGTACAGTTCTACTCTGACATACATGGGGTCACAGGAGTTGAAGTGGACTCAATGGCACTGGTTTGGTTTAGTCTTAGTATATATTTTGTAGTTTCAGACTGAATGTAGTTAATTTCTGAGATTGCACAATGTGAAAGATAAACTTTAATAATAGAATAAAAATCTATGGTGTTGAGCCAAACGAGGCAAAAGCCATATCCAGAAGATGGATGAATCTGAGTGTGTGAGGGCACAGAGGGCAAGTAACGTAACCTTTGGGAGGTCCTTCACAGGGATTGCAGAATAAGGAATTAACTTCCAAAAGAATGCTGAGTAATTACTATAAAAAATGTGAAGCTATGATAAGTCATAGAGTTCTGAGGACATCACCATTATAGTAAGTGAAAATCAAGTTAAACAAATACTAATCAAAGACTATACATTCATAAACAAATTTTAATATGTATCATTTTGAATCTAATCATAGGCATACAGAGTTAACATTTATTTGCACTTGTAAAATTCTGTATTAGAAGATTGATTAATGTTTTGTTTGAAAATATTCAAGGACATATGGACACTGTTAACTAAAAGTAAGTATTTTCTTCTATAATTTTGGATAAAAATATGGACTAACATCCAACATTCCTTGCAGTTTTACTCCATGCTAAAAAAGTACTTTATTTACAAACCAATTTCCCAAACAATTTTTTCATTGCTTCTTTTACATCTTTGTTTCTCAAACTGTAGATGACGGGATTCAGCATGGGAATCACAATAGTGTAGAATACAGACACTATCACGTCATGCTCCAAATCGTAGCTGGAACTCGGTCTCATATACATGAAGAGGATTGTCCCATGATAAATTGACATGCCGGTTTGGTGAGAACCACAAGCGGAAAAGACTTTTTGCCCCCCTTCAGAAGAGTGCATCCTCAGAATGGCCAAGAAAATGAAGCCATAAGAGATCAGGACAATCAGGATGGTGAATATCGCAATAGAAGCCGCAAAGTAGAAGAGCAGAAGCTAGTTGATATGAGTGTCAGAGCAGGAGATAGCAAGGAGTGGAGGGATATCACAAAAGACATGTCTAATTTCATTGGATGCACAGGAGAGGCTAAAAGTTGCTACTGTATGTAAAGTAGCATGCGAAATACCACCAACATATGAAGCAGTGATAAGTGCCACATAGACCCTGAGTGACATGTTAACTGAATACCGAAGTGGATTGTAGATTGCTACATAGCGATCATATGCCATTGCTGCCCAGAGAAAGCATTCTGTGGTCCCAAAAGTGACAATGAGTAGCATCTGTGTTCCACATCCAAGGAATGAAATGGCTTTATTCTCTGCCAGGAAATTGACCGACGTTTTTGGGGTAACAACTGAAGAATAGCAGGCATCCAAGAAAGATAACACACTCAGAAAATAGTACATGGGGTTGTGGAGTCGGGAATCTGCCATGACTAATAAAACCAGTCCCAAATTTCCCACCAAAGTAAAAATATAGATGGCAAGAAATAGTAAAAAGAGACAGACTTGCAGCTCAACATCATCTGTGAAGCCCAGCAATGTAAACATGGTGACTTCAGTGACATTCTTCCACTGAATCCTGTATGGATGTAATGCTAATGACAACACTGACATTTCAGTTGATATGTATAGGTCCTAAATGCAATATCCTGATACCCTGTGAAAACAGAGTGCACCCAATTACATCTTCATGTTTGTTTTTTAGAAGAGGGTAATTAACATCTTAGGCAGTGATGGGATGTTGTTGTTAATTGCTTTTGAGATGACTTCCAACTCATGCCAACTCCATGCACAACAGGATCAGACCACTGTGATCCATAGAGTTTCCACTGGCTGATTTTCAGAAGTAGATCATCAAGCCTTACTTCCTAGTCCGTCTTAATCATGAAGCTCCACTGATGCCTTTTCAGCATCACAGCAAAAGGCAAACCTCCACCGACAAATGGGCAGTGGCTGCACTTGAGGTGCATTGGCCAGGAATCAAACCTGGGTTTCCCATATGGAAGGATAGAATTCTACCACTGAACCACTACTGCCTTCTAGAGATGGGACAGGCAGTGACAAAGTAGTTGAGCCCCAAGAACACCAAACTCTTTGCTGCCAGTCAATTCTGACTCATAGCAACCCTACAAGACAGAGTAGAACCGCCCCATAGGGTTTCCAAGCAGTGGCTAGTGAATTTGAACCGGTGACCTTTTGGTTAGCAGCTGATCTCTTAATCACTGTGCCACCAGGGCTCCAGTTGGGCCTACGTGAATGCAATTTTCTGATTATATATAAAAAATAGTTTCATTCTTTTGTTAGCTAAACTTGTCATGTTTAAAGAAACAAATAACAACAACAACAACAACTTGCCAATTTAAGTGATTCTCAAACATACATTATCTTATAATTCCCAAAGACCAATGAATAGAGAAATTTAAAAATCCAAAAGCAATATCATTGAAAGTACCCGCTAGTATACTAACCCTGAACTGGCTGCAATATGCATCAGCCCCTTTCCTTAATGTCCACTGTTGTCAAATGAGAATAGAAGCACTAACCACTTACAAGATTGGGTTAAATTTAAAAGAGAAAAACTATGTGAACATGATTTAATTTTAAAATTTTATCAGACAACTAGAGAATAGGATAGTTTAGACTTACATTTCAAGTTGTCTTAGAACAGCTTTGAATGGTCCAACCGTTTTAAGTGCACTTTCCTCTTTACCCCATTCCACCGGCATTTCTAAAACAAAGGTGAGCAAAGCAGCAGATGGTATTCTGGGGATAGATTCACCTTTATGCAAACAAAAACAGGACATTATCTTTTTTTAAGTTTTTCTTTCAAACACATATTATTAAGTTGTCCATTTTTCCTTTGCAGCTTATTGTACCATTATTATTGTTTTTCAAGTTTCAGCTTAATGACAATTTTAAGATATTTCTCTATTCATATGATGTCCTGGTGGAGCAGTGTTTGATTTCTAACCTAAAGGTCAGCAGTTCAAACCACCAGTCACTCCACAGGAAAAAGATGTGGCAGGCTGCTTCCACAGAGATTTCAACTTTGGAAACCCTATGAGGCAGTTCTACCCTATCCTGTAAGGTCACTATAGAGTCACTATGAACCAGAATCAACCCAATTGCAATGGGTTTGGTTTCTGGTTTTTCTCTATTTGTATGCTCCTTAGCCTTATGCTACCATACAAAAATCCGATTCAAAATGGACAATGCTAGTCCGTTTCAGCTCAGTAATGCCTAGGATATACAGCTTTATGCTTTCCATTTCATTTTTTACAATTTCCAGTTTCTGAGAATCATACTTTATACATTCCGTGTTCTGGTTATTAATAGATGTTTGTACCTCTTTCTTCTCTTTTTTAAGCCAATAAAATAGAATATCTTAATCTAATAAAATAAAATAAGAGAGAAGTTTTAAAAAGACAATTTGCAATAAAAGGAGGAGTTGGAGTGACTAATATCTGTCCCTGAAGTGAAAAAATAACAAAAATATAGAAAAAAATGCAAAGCAATGGTATATCATATATATACGAAATCTACTAATTTTATTCCATTTGAGAACATTATGGAAATGGGGGGAGGGGGATATTGAGTGTTCTGTCCTAAAGGTAAAATATTTTAATCCAGATCCCTGGGTGGGATTGAAAGTTGAAAGTTAACTGAGAATAAATGAATAGATCTAAAAGAAACTAACTCCCTGATGAATACAAATTGACAGACACCCTAGACATTTTGTTAAGCTTTCAACTGCTTCAGACATAATTAACAAATTGCCTGGTATCTCCTCAGGGAGAGGCTTAAAGGCTGAGAGAAAGCTATAAGTTTTTCCCACCATGCCATGTAAGAAGCGCATGGGTTGTGAAAACAGATACATTACAGGTAAAAGGCAGATTTTTTTTTTTCTATGTAGTGCCATGTTTTATTAAAATCTATAATGTTTTAGTGACATTTTCAAGGCTCTATTTTTAATAGACAACGAAGCTACAGCAGAATATTAAGAATTTTTATTCAGTTCTGTCTGCTTTCCGCCATTATTCTTGATATGTTTTATATGAGATGATTGTGGACTTCATGTACTCACTTTTATAATTTAATGCCATGAAATTTAATTTCTGCATTTCTTTGCTAATAGTTTACTCAGAGACTGCTCTGCTCATAGTATTCAGGAATAGCTATATGCCAGATAGATAGATAGATAGATAGACGGATGGATAGATATACATACATACTTAGAAAGCAGTGATGATCACAAAGTTTTAAACCTACAATTCTGTTATATTAACTGGTAAGGCTATTCTTGTATTTTTAAACCATCTTTGGTATATTCAGATACATTTTTTCAAGATTATACTTAAGTTTATCTGTGATATCTCATGGCACATAAGAGTTCCAGTGTTTAATGGAACATACTTCATGTTCAAAAATATTTTAAATAACTTCCAATAATTCACATATATGTCAACATCAGTATATTTGCTTTTTCTCCTGTACTATTGTGTCATATAGTGATTTTTTTCTTTTTTTCATTAAAAGTAGAGGATTTTTTTTTTAACAAGGGAGAGTTCATGACATCAATTTTTCACTATTTATTCAGATTTCCTCGTATAGCGTAGTTATCTCCCTGAAAAAAATTACGTATCTGGTTTGTTAGAAAAAACTTAGAACTTGTCAGTTACAATACAAATGCCCAATTGGAGGAGAAAGTATTTTAAATAGACCAAAAAAGAAAGTGATCTAAAGAATGGCACTTTTAGACAATTTAGTCATAGAACATGTGTTACAGAATATAAGGCTGGGGTCAGTTACAAGGATAACACCCTAAAGGAACTCTTGATCATGAATACGGTAGCAAAGAATGTAAGTCACAGTCCAGAAGAATTTACTTATAAATATCTTAAAGATCAACACAATTAATAAAAAAAAAAAAATTTAGGTAATTACTGTCAACATCCAAAAACGATAGATAAATATATGGTTGATATAGCTATATAGACAGACAGATAGATAAACACTCAAACAGTACTAGGCACATGCTAGTTTAGAGTTATTTTAAAGTATCGTAGACACATTGGAGAATATAATTCTCATTTATTCTTCCTAACAACCCTGCAAGAAAGTGTTGGAATACGATTTTTCATGTGGGATAAATAGATTCATATACCATATGTTATTTGCCCAAACTACCTGTTTGTATATATTACAAATGTAGGTATAGCAGAGACTGTATCTATACACAAATATCTCTAGGGATGTTTTCATGTATAAAGACAAATAATCCTGATTGTGATCAGTTATGTATCTATCCAAAACCTATCTAGTATGTTGACTGTTCCAACCCGGAAGATCTATAATCATGAGTTTCATAATATAATGTTTTGAAGTAGAGAGAACAAAATGTTTAGACATATGAAAAACACAAAAGTTTTAAGAAGACTGTAATAATCATCCATGTACCTAATGTCCAAAGGTATAACATATTATTCATTTTTGATTCATCTATCTAACAATATATCCATCAATCTAATATGCATATGTATACGTGTGTAAAATTTGTGGGAGTTGTGTATGTACTCAAATATCCTAAAATGGAAAGTTTGGATTTATGTTATTCATATTGGCTTTGTGTACTAAAAATCTACCGATGATTCTACATAAAGGTATTGACTATGCTGATGTCTCTATCCAGAATAGGTTTTGTGATAGACCTAGATGTACAAACATAATCTAACAGTGCTGAATGAATTCATTCTGTTGGGAATCACAGAACGCCCCGAGCTGCAGGCTCCATTGTTCTGGCTGTTCCTCATCATCTACATGATCTCAGTGGTGGGCAACTTGGGCATGATCATCCTCACCAAGATAGACTCCAAACTACAAACACCCATGTACTTTTTTCTCAGATACCTGGCTATCACTGATCTTGGTTATTCAACAGCTGTGGGGCCCAAAATGTTGATAAATTTTGTTGTGGATGAAAACACAATCTCCTATTATTTTTGTGCTACACAGCTAGCTTTCTGTGTTATGTTCATAAATGGTGAACTTTTTATTCTGTCAGCAATGTCCTATGATCGCTATGTGGCCATCTGTAACCCTCTGCTCTACACAGTCATCATGTCACAAACGATGTGTTGGGTGCTGGTGGCAATCATCTATCTCTACAGCACATTTGTTTCTCTTCTGGTCACCATGAAGATTTTTAATTCATCCTTCTGTGGCTACAATGTCATCAGGCATTTCTACTGTGATAGTCTCCCCTTGTTATCTTTGCTCTGCTCAAACACACATGAAATCAAATTGATCATGCTTGTCTTAGCAGCTTTTGATTTGATTTCCTCCCTCCTAACAGTTCTTTTTTCTTATGTACTCATAATTGTAGCCATTCTCAAGATTAACTCAGCTGAGGGAAGGCACAAGGCCTTCTCCACCTGTGGATCCCACCTGACGGTGGTGGGAGTGTTCTATGGGACTTTAATCTTTATGTATGTGCAGCCCAAGTCCAGTCATTCCTTCGATACTGATAAAATGGCTTCCATATTTTACACCCTGGTTATCCCTATGTTGAATCCCTTGATTTATAGTTTGAGGAGTAAAGATGTAAAATATGCCTTGCATAGGACTTTAGGACAA